TACTAAATCCACAAGCGCATATTACCATCGAAATTTTATAACACTATATTGTGTATACATAATATATATTACTGCGCTTCCAGGGCATTCCATTTGTCCCTTTAGTTTCTATGTACTAGTGTATGAATTTTATGAACATTTTGAACGGCAACAACCTTGGCTGCGAGCACCGACCGGTTACCGGGATCCCCGGGTGCCGTGTCGTTGGCGATGCCCATGGCGGCCATGGAGGCGTCGAACCGATACTCGCTAAACGCGAAACGATCGGACTTCTACGGTGGTGAAGGTAATTTGCAGCCGCGTCCGATGTAATTGAAGAGGAGCAGGAAAGAGACTTACCCAAATAGAGGTGAAAGAAGCAGCGGCATGAATTATACCCTGGAAAAGCACTCGAGACTCCGCGGGTGAAAGAGTGCAGACAAAATGGCCGCTCCTCTCGTGGCACTCCAACCACGGCAAAAACCAGAACAATTCGCTCCCCCTCAATAGCACCAAAAAAAAGACAATTATCGTTCAGTCAATATTCTCATATAATTGTTTAAAATCCATATCAATACATAACCTGGGTTACTAAATAACATCCGACGGTGAAATCAGGAATAAAAGAGTGCAGTCATAACGGCCGCTCTCTCCGAGGTGCCTAAATGCTCATGCGAACCAGAAAATCACTCTTCCGAGCTTCGCTCTGGGAAATACAACAGCCATTACATATTCTTACTCGATTTCCGAAGACATTTCCAGTTATACAAGCGTCCATGTTAATGAATTAAGTTTAATTGTGCCGCCAAGCGGGAGAGCAGGGTCAATCCAAGATGGCGGCGCGCGGAACGTCGGTACCGGAGAATTCGCTCGTTCGGATCGCCGTGATTTTTGAGGAAACGTGGGATTAATTGGTGGCAGGGCCTCGGAAGAGCTCATTAAAGGCGGAATCCGTCGGCTGGGGGATAGAGACGCGTCGGAAAGCAGCTTCAACCTTGGCCGTTCTTGGGGACCGGTTGGTCGGTATCCGCGAGCCCCTCCTTGCCGATGGCAGCCAGAAGGCGTCGAACCGATCGTCGCTAAACGCGCGAGAGAGGCGATCGAGTTCTCCCCTTCCCGAGGAGCGAGTTCTACGGTGGAAAAGGTAATTTGCTGCCGCGTCCGATGTAATTGAAGAGGAGCGGGGAAGGGATCCGGCCAAATAAAATAGTCTCGCGAGCCGGGGCGATACAGCCGTCAGATCCGAAGCGAGAACCGTGAAGAGTGGCCGCGGCGGCGAGAGAGAAGGACGCGCTTATGCGGGCCGCGCGGGCGCGAGAGAGAGGGCACTAGCCGAGCCATGTGGCAGGCGCAAACGGTGTGAGTAATGGCGTCGGCCGATCGCTTCCAGGGCCCTAAACGCGGACGCTCCTTACTCTCCGGCAATAACGAGGGGAACTATCATCATCGGAATCATTATCATCGGGTCCTCCAAGGGCCCGCCGATACCTGGTGGGGGTAATGACAAAATTATACCGAAACCTCGGCGAGGTGCATGAAGATATAAGGGCATCTCGGGTGTTGAAAACGTTCCCTTATCTCCAGGCATTACCGCTGATGAAGATGACGCTCCAGGCCCGAGTATTCGGCTAAACGGAATTCCTAATCGAGTCCGACCATTGCTCCAGATTCGCGGACCGCGGATAAGTTCGTAAGTCTTGAGAGGTTCGATCCGAAAAATCGGATGGAAATAATTATACGACGTCGTCTCTTGGATGGAAGGTGTCGAGATTATTCGAAAACGTTGGGAGCGATGTAATCTCCTTCCAGGTCGATCCTTGGGGATCTGTGGAAGACAGGAGGGGTTCTTCGGCCATACTTAAGAGCCCTAACCCGAGGGTTGCTCCACCTTTTTCAGAACTGACGCTCCAATTCCGAGGCTCCCCGGGTCGTAACCATCGGCGGACACGCCGCCGCTCGGATAGGAAGTCGGCGAGGAGAATTGGTTTCGGTATACCTCCCAGGATTTCCCGTCGGCGGACAAACATTACGGAACGAAAGCCGGCCTCGTAAAACCCCGAGGAGTCGGCGGGGAATTAGTAAACTGCCGCAAATGGTAGCTCTGCGGTGCCGCCTATCCCGAGGTAAACGAGATATTCCCTCCACGTTCACCCTTATTATTTTTCAGAGGTGCCCACCTTCCACCTGGATTACCGCGAAACGCGTGCTCGGCCGAGACCGGTCAATTAAAATCCCGATTATTATTTCTCTCGCCACCTCGGCCATTATTTCCTCTCGAGGGCGTCGATATTTTCCGGGAAGCTGGGAAGAGCTAGACGAGCGATCGTAGATGCACCAGGTGAGATCTTCTCCGGGAAAAGCTTTTTATATATACATATATATATATTTCGTATCATTTCAAAAATCCACCCCGGGAAAAGTATTTTATAACATTATATCCGACGTTCTCTTTGAACCGTTCACGTGTACCTATATATGTACGCACATTGAGGAACAAAAAAATTCCCTGAATCTTGAAGATATCAAAAAAATATTCAATTCATTCAAAGAATATTTTTATTTCCCTCAAGCCTAAATAAATTGTCACGGATCCGAAGAGACGTTGCACCCGATTTATTCGAGTTTATTCGAGTGAAATTAATTATCCTTTGAGTGAAGAAAATATTTCTTTTTTCAGTGTCTACTGTACGTCGAAGGGACATTGACAGTCCTGCCATGTATCAGCCCGTTAAATGATCTCGTTAATGACTCGGTACCTTCCGGCTTATCACTGGAAGCCTTCCCTGATAAAGGTACCCATTCAATCAGCTCTCAAAATATTTCTTTTCTCAATGTGTACTGTACGTCGAACGGACATTGACAGTCCTGCCATGTATCAGCCCGTTAAATGATCTCGTTAATGACTCGGTACCTTCCGGCTTATCACTGGAAGCCTTCCCTGATAAAGGTACCCATTCAATCAGCTCTGAAATTCGAATCCGCCTCTCGAGGCAGCGACAGGCTTCGCCGGAATCTCGTTAAACGTTCCCTCGCGGTTGATTAACGGCTTATCATAAATACGAAGCAAGAGCGCTTTCGTTTTCTCTCATTAACGCGCCTCGGTCCCAAGGCAGAGATCCTAGATTAATACGTTCACTTCTATTAATGATAGCCGCCCGTTCATCCGCGCTCTCTCGCACCTCGGCCACAATAAAGTTGCACGACTCGCAATTAGCCCTATCTCGTAGAAGCGATTGCCGGTAATAACGCCCGCTCGAAATTACCCAGGAGATGACCGAGATGATGACGACGTCGATGACAACGAGGAACCGGCTCGCGAATGGTAGCTGTAACCTGTTAACTCGGCCTAAGTGTTAATATTAATACCGATAATAATTAATCCGTGCGTATCATGTATACCCTCGATATGAACGATACCTATATTTCAGGTCTATCGTGATTATGGAAGATGAGCAACGGCTAGAAATCTTAAAAACAGTCGACTACCATCGCGATGGACGTGCCCCTTTAACCACTGAAACGGAAATTGGATTATTTTAACCCGTCATCGTGTCATAAATGTAAGTAAAAAATTTCCCACTTTACAACGTGAATATGGAGGATGGAAGGAAGGCGGTGGCGCCCATGAAATTTCATATTTGAAAAAAAAATGTTTAAAGTATCTATGAACAAATTTCATGGGCGTCAAGACCTTACTTATAGTATTCGTATTCTTATTGTAGAGTTTGAAAGGATTCGGTACACCCAGTTTGGCGAAATTTCATTGTTTCGTAAACGTGACCTCTTCGCCACTTCCACATCGCCTTAAGGGTCAACGCAATTTCCGTTTGTATTAATTATTTTTTGTTAATAATTGTGGGAGTCAATTGCAAGGTCCACGGATGTTTTCTAGATATAAGTTGAAAGCTGACGTCGAAGTCGCAGATGGAGGCGCAAGCCGCTGCCATTCCCAGTTTTCGGAAATCTCGTTTCTTCTACCGACACACATTCTCTTCCGTACGTGACGACCGGGCCAGCCTTTTTGCAGACAATAACGCGTCCTAAGGACCGAGGCACGTGTCGCCGAGTGGTGTCATATGAGACCGAAATCTCAGATATGAGAGAAGATTCCAAGGGACAGTAGTTAGGGCTGGGGTCGTAATATCGCGTTCTTCCCTGGGATACTTTGGGCGACACGTGTGTGAAACTGCTTGTAAAACTGCCCACGAACGTACCGCACGGCGCCCTCGAAAAGAAAATTTTCACCCATACCGTCCTGGAAACTCGAGGGAAAATCCATTAAACTCTCGTCAGCGGGCTCACCATTCGTTTAACTTATCCTCCCTAAATAAATTCTTCCCAACGATTGCGCTTTTTTCTCTGTCCTATCTTCTCTTATCGGGTGTCGCAAACGCTGAGTTCGGGAAAATATGAATTTTCATACAAAGGTACGCTTTCAGTGATTTGTGATTTTTATACCGTAATTTGATTAAATGAACATTAATCCCAGGTGATCTTTTACTGAATTACCGCGATGATAGCGTACTTAGAACAATGATTTTTTTTTAGCTTTTTCTAACAAGGAGAATTTTACAATCTTTACAAATATCATAATTGTTTCATTCGATTTGCTGGTAGTGCACGTTACCATGCTTACCGATTGAGTTAACCTTGTTTGCACATTGCCAGAACTTTTAATGTGGCGCCATCTGTCTATTGAAGCGTGTAACATGATGACAAAGCGCGCGATGTTTGAAACTCTAAATTACATTTTTTTTTAACAAAAAATTTCATAATGCAATTTCAGCCGCCGAAATAATTTGTCATCATTCTACACTTCCACATTGAAATTCCTTGTTTATCACATTTCAGTTTACTAATTTGATGTGTAAAAATACATAAACTTATAATCGAAATAAACTATAAACATTCCATCTACTTGCTCAAAACATGTTTAGATGAAAGCACTTTGGAAAGTTGTATGTTGAAATGAAATATCAATAAATAACACATTTAAATACTGTTCGAGATAGAAACTGAAATGTTTGGCATTCTTAATATGTGTTTACTTTTTGTATGAATTATATATATATACATGTCATTTTGTATTTGGATCATGATGTTAATCAAATGCAGATCCCTCCCACGTAATCAATTATTCCTTGCAGCGAAATAATATGACGGAAGAAAGTATAATGACTGGCTGATTCAACAATGACGAAGTGGTGACCTTATGGCGAGATCACATTGTCAACTCCTGCAATAAAGAAAAACCAAATTAGAACAAGAATAACCTCAGCGTAAACAGAAAGTTTCACATAAAAGTGATCAGACTGCCAAGTTTCTCTACATTGTATTAATTCTGACTGTGAAATTTTTTAGCGAAACCATTCACATTTCTCATCATTTGAAATTTTGTGTTTGGGTAAACACTGATACAGTACCCTCAATTTTTTAGACTCACCATGATCGCATTAACGATATCATTATCGTTATTTTTCAAAGCTTTAACAGCTTTGCCCCGAGTGACGTTAGCCTGACACATGACAAGATCTATGTCTTTGCCACTGACACCCGTTTCATCCACTTCTTCTTCAGATTCTTCGAGAATGGGCGCGACGACCTTTAAACAAAATATTTCGTCAAGTCTTTGCTAAATATGAAACATGGAAGAACCAAAATTCAATATTTACCGTTGTACTGCCGCCGGCCTCTGTGGCTGGTATAACTGGTGGTTCCTTGAACTTCTCGGCAGCTGCAACTTGCGCCTGCTGACTCAAATCTTCAATCTGAAAGAAATCCATTTTGACATAACCATAGTTGAACTCGACATACATTTTTCCACCGTTTGTTGTGCTATTCATACCTTAGCTTCTCCAAAGACAATATAGGTATCCGAAGCCGGATTTTTCAGAACATCTGGTTTATTGATCACGAACAATATGTTCTTCGATTTACGTATTGTTACTCGGTTAACTCCTTGTACCTATAAGAAACATTTAACAGAATAAAGAAATGATTCCCCTAATAAGCCATTCATTTATCCTCGTCATTCAACTAACCGGTTTAAGTCCGAGTTTACTCATGAGTTTCCTGGCCTTCTTCTCACCACGACTCTGTTTAGCCTTCGAAACCATGTCAATGGGGAGACCGGTAACGGTCGTCCCAGGGAATCCGACGGTACCGCCTGCACCGGCATCTTCCAACTCCGGAATGGTATCGTCGGAATCGGAATCGGTCCCAGAACCAGCCGCTGCCGCCTCAACCTTGGTAGGTTCGGAGGTCGCTGCCTTGTCCAGTTCTGTCAATTCCGGCATCTTATTAACGCTGTAATAAATTCATTGTCTAAACATTAAAACCATCCAACAAATACGCCAATAGAAGTCACCCCTAATTGCAATTTTCGAACGTCCAACAAAATATAACAATGGTTCTTATAGGCGAATAAGCTCGCCATGGCACCCAAACAGGTCGCGTAGAAATGCAAAACCTGAAAAATCCAGCTCCAAAAAAATATAACCTCTATCGAAAAAAATGCTTAACCACCTAACAAAGACGCTAATGTAGTAGAACTTGTTCGTACCTAACTGTGTACCGACAGACCGTTATTAAATAATTGTCATACGAGGCTTATTTGCACAATTGTCGCGAACGAGCCGTTGGCGAAACGCTGGGAAAATGCATGGCCATATCAATAACGAAACGTTCCCGCCGCCCTCAATACCGGCATCATGACGCTGTTGAAAATGTCCACTTTTCTCCTGCCCATTTATTCTTACTCGTAATTCCGCGATGCAAGCCATATTTACCGATTTACCTAGGATGATGCGAGGTTGGCTCCAAAACCCAGTTGAATCCAATCCTATTTCTGGCTGCCGTCGACTGGACACTCAATACACACACACGTAATCGCACACCCTTTTAACAAATTTAGATGGTTTTAGGAACACGAGCCCGGCCTCGCCCAATCCAGGAGCTGGATCGCGGCCAGAAGTCGCGATATATAGGGGTAACTCATTTCTGGTAGAGATGAGTTGCGCCGCCATTGAGGGGCAGGTGGCAAGTACATTAGCCGCCCGCACCAACCACCAGGTGTGGGGATTGACAAATATATTTTACCACTTTATTTATAGTTATTGCTTTATTATCACAGAAAAAGGAGCGGATTTTCACGTGCGCTCTAAAATTGGCCACAAAGTCACCCTGCCCGTAAGCAATCTCCCAACTCATCTCTGTATCAGAAACCATCCATGCTCCACATATCTAACTGCCGAACTGCTGCCATCTAGCGGGTCATTTGCAAAACTAGTCCACACTTTGCACGAATACGATTCTGTTACCCTATCAGTTTAAATGCAACTTACCGACGGCGAAGCACAGTTCATGAACTTTTTTGATATCGGAAGGAAAGGAAGAATTCCAGGAGAGGTATACACCGACAGTACCCGTCATGTACATGATAACATAACCTGTGCATGGAAGTTCGGTGCACTGCCGTTACGTGGAGGCGACTCGACGATTGTTCAGTGTTGCCAGGTCGAGATGAAGAAATTTCTTGAATGAATAATTTTCCAACTGTCCAGAAATTTCTATGACATAAGGTGGCGCCACTAAATAGTAGTGCAAGGTCTTGCCACAATTAACTGTTTCACTTTTTCGCAAAATTCAAGGAGAGACAAATTTTTCGAATGAATTCGGGTATTCGTAGTTTTTTCCAATCTGCGGATAAGTAAAAAATTGAAATTCTTTGTTTCTTCGGTCCATCCTCGAAAGAGTCTAAGTTTCCTCGGGTTGAGTTCAAAGTTCGTAATTGTTTTAATTTTAATTGGCAAAGGAGTGAAAATTTCTTTAGATACGTGTAAAAATCATCAGACGTGACAACGCTGCGCGCTCCTCTGGTTCCGCCGCCGGCCGAGTGGGGGCGAGCGGCGCGCGCACCCCCCGCGGCCAGGCGGCGCCGCGGAGCGCGTTTCACTCTCCGCGCGCCGCTCGAGGAGGGAAGTCGTGCGTCGTGTGCCGGAAGGGTCGCGTGCCGCGCGTGCGACCACGTGGTCTGCCGGGTCTCCGGGATGCGAGACTCCACGCTCCCCCGCCGCGTCGGAGCGCAGTGAAGGGAAGCAACCCAGATGCCACCGGAAGTCCACTAAAATTCGCCGATCGCTCGAGGATATGTCCAGGAGGAAGCAGGCAAAGCCACGATCTCTCAAAAGTGAGTTTATCCCTTACATCTCCCCCATAAACCATAAAAATAACACACGTCGAACCGAGAACCTCCTAACGTTCATTCGGTAAACAAACCCACGATAACCTAAACCTAACCTGTAAACATCACCTCCACGGTACAAAACAGAAGAATTTAGGAATTAACGAGAAAAAGAGTCTTACCCTCCGATATTCAATTCTCCATGAAAGAAATTTCAAACTTGACGTTGAAATTAGGAAGAAATTCCGGATATTTTACATTCGACTAAAAATCCTCCACTGGGGAATAAATCTGAGCGAGAGAAATATTCTTATAGTTATTATTCTTAGGTAATTTATTTCATTAAATTCGCGAGATTTTTGCGATAAGTGGGGTTAAAAAAGGGCGAGGGGTGTATATAGTCGCGGGGGGAGATAGCGATATGGAGCAGGGGCAGGCGGGGGGGGGGTCGGCCAGGATGGAATTAGGTGGAAACCCGCGGGACCGGAGGCTCTCCCTAGGGAATCGCCGGCCTCTGTAATCACCGGTTCTCCTATCCTATCCTCTATCCTATCCTATCTCGTCCTATCCCTATCCCATCCAATTCCGGGCTCGCTCGGTCGCTCTCTCCCTCTCTCTCTTTCCTGCGGACGCGCCATCGGACCCTCTCTCTCTTCCCCATAGTCGCGTTTCTCTCGCTATCTCCCTTTCCCATGGACGCGCAAATCCCGCTTTCTCGCTCTTTATCCCTCGATCTCTCTCTTTCACGTGCTGATCGGTTTATCTCTTTCTCTCTCTTTCTCCTATGATCACGACGATCGCTTTCTCTCTCTCTTTCCCATGACCGAGCAAATCGCGCGCTTCCTCTTTGTCGTTCCCTCTCTCTCTTTCCCATGGTCGCGGTACGCGCGCCGTCTCTCTCGCGCGCGCGGCTAGCCCAGCTGGACGTCGCAGTTCGTTTCGGTATTTTATATCAGGATAAATAAAACAATGAAGAAACCGCGCAATTCACTCCACTCCGTACTTCACTTGTTGGGGAGTTCCATAAATTAATAGATTAATGTTTCTAGAGAGAGGATTTTACTTGGTGACGATTAAACGTTTACCCCCTAGGGAAGGATGACATCAAGTCGAAGAATTAATTAAAAATTCATAAATAAATTCTGGCATTGCCAGAAATTTACGAAACTTTTGAAATTCGTCCTCGGACTCCCCAATGATCATGGTTTGCATTCGCAGTGGAAATTGTCGCATTGATACTGACGTACCGATGTCAAAGTAGAGTAAACGAGCCCCGGCAATACAAACCGGGTTTGTACCAGAACATTGTGTTTACATCGCGAAAGGAATTCGGAAATTAATCGGTCGGGTTTTCCATTCTCTCGTCCACACTGTGAGTGGACGAGAGAATTTCCGATTCGGGGTTAAATTAATTCCACAGGTGATTATTGGTGTATCTGGGCTTGGTAAAAAATTATGCCGGGGGGGAAGTAATGCTAGGCTAGACGCATCGCTCGTGTAGAGAATTCTTGCTCGTTTATTTATGGGTACCGACATTTCCGCGACTGGGGTGGGGTGTTATGGTAACCATAAACGTAAACGTATAATCCAAACGGGACGCAATGACCCGAATCACTGGGCATTATGCCGCGCCGTGAAACCCGTGATTGTAATTTGCGCGTGCAGCATAAATGCATAATTATTACCCCCCGAAATGAATTTACGCCCGTGGCAATTATTAACGACTGCCGGAGCGAGCGGACTCGGGCGGGAAATCTGGATATATTCGCGATTGTTCCTGAATTTCCCCAAATTTTTCTCCCGATCTTAATTAATAACCTCCTTCGTTGCGATCCGCTGGAATAGTGAAAATAGATAATAAAAATCCCTCATTACCTTATTTTTTTTTTCCTCGTGCGAGATCATCCCTTTCGAAGTCACTTAACGGCGAAAAGTTTCATGAACGACCTTGTTCCTGAATTTTCCCAATTTTTCTCGCGATCTTAATTAATAACCCACTTCGTTGCGATCCGCTGAAATGGTGAAAATAGAAAATGAAAGTGGAATTAATCGCTTATTATCATTTTTTTTTTTCCTCGTGCGAGATGTGGGAGATCAACCCTTTCGAAGTCACGGAACGGCGAAAAGTTTCATGAACGACCCCCCGCCGATTTCGTACCGCCTTAACGTTTCCGTAGAGTATTCGTAATAAGGGGAATTATTGCGGAGGTCGTGGCAAAATCACCGGCAGGTCTCTCACCTGAGCTTAACGAGCAGCCCCGAATTTCGTGGCCTTAAGCCCTTAAGGCCTTAATCGCGGCCACTTTCGCGAGGACTTAAGCCGGTGTTACTTTTTCGAGCACGTGCACGTATACTCGCAGGACTTAAACGCGGACAGGACGTGGCAGGACCTCGGATTACCTCGTCACCCTTTTTGTCGCACTTACTCTGGGAACCTCCTACCCGTTAATTCCGTTTTCATTTCTCACTTTTATTCTCTCCCTGTTCCGTCCGATGCACTCGAGCCACTTCTCTCTCTCTCTTTCTATCCGGCCCGAAGTCGTCGCGCTCATACCAGGATTCGTTTCTTTGGTCCTGAAATTAAAGTCCTAATGAAATTGTGAAAACTCAGAGATAAGTAGAATTCCGATAAGGACCTTCTCTCTGGTCCCAGTTTTTGGGGAAAATTTTCCTACCCCCGAAATTTAATATGCAATGTTTACCGCATTCGTGGGAAATTAATTGAGATCCTCAAGTATCGATTAATTATAACAATCGCTATTGTTTCCAACCCGGTGGTACATCCCGTAATTGTAATATACGTGATTTGGAATTTATGGAGAGGTTGGAAATAATTGAGAATTTCATTTTTTCGATTTATGAGGTCATGGTATGTTAAGGTTCGATACTCTATTTTTTTTTTTTAAATAAATGAGATTGGTTAATGTTCGTAATTTTCGGTCGAGGAATTCTTTCCGTAAAGTTTCCTCCGTGTACACGGGGTCGCTATGGGGAGGCAAGGGGATCCCTCGGGATCCAGCCTGGGGTTCGATCCCGGGGGACCCGGGACCCCCGTCTCTCTGATGGCCGCCGACCCTTGTCTTGGAATATCCTGGAATATCCGAGGATTTACTTAATTACATCCCTTCCGAATGGTCATCCCTGATATTTCGCGTCGCCTCAAGACCTCCTTACCCCCTTCGTATTTCTTAATTCCATGATTCCATATGATTTTTTTTTTTTAATCAGCGCCAAAAAAATAGAGGTTAAACTTGTTGCCTCGGAAAAAGAAATTTAAAGATCTTAACGCGAATCGAACACTCGAAGATCTAAACCGCACTTCATAGATCTAAACCGAGTAACGAGTTCCGGTAGAGTTCCGCGCCAAGTACATAGGTAGGTACTGCTAAAATCGCTCACCCAGTCTTTATCCGCGAAATTCAGGCTAGATATATAATCAGGGATTGAAATCGAGGATTCGATGAGAGATCTGTCTTTTTTTTATTTTCTCTTCGAGACTCCGAATTCAAGTCGAAATTCGGAGTCCGGGAATGCGCCAAGTATATAGGTAGGTACTGCTAAAATCGCTCACCCAGTCTTTATCCGCGAAATTCAGGCTAGATATATAATCAGGGATTGAAATCGAGGATTCGGTGAGAGATCTGTTCTTTTTTTTTTTTCACTTCGAGAGAATTCAAGTTGAAATTCGGAGTCCGGGAATGTCTCGGCGCACGGTCGGTACGGCAGGCAGGGGAGAGAGCGGAGCCCTCGGTCCCTCGGGAGTCAGCCCGGGTTCGATCCCGACGGGACCCGGGACTCCGTATCCCCGATGGCTGCCAGCCGAGCAGCCAACCTACGTCGCCTCTCGGAACGTCGAGGAATATCCTCGAATATCCCGGAATATATCCCCGGCCCCCTCTATCGATTGAGGGGACTCGGGACGAGGAGGCATCGAGACCCGGGGTCCGGGGTTCCCTGGGGATCTCTTTTCTGGCACCTGGGTCTCTCCGACGCCTCGCGGACGGGGGACTCCCTCTCGCCCGGCGAAGACGCCGCGTCCCCGAGGGCGTCGCGACGCCTTCCTCGAGTTTCGCGCCGACCGGAATGAGAGAACGTACGATCGACTGGGAGGCCGCATCGAGATGCCGGAAAGTGGTCCATTTTTTCGGAGGTGATCGGCTCTCTTCACTTTTCGTGAATTTCAATTTCTTCCTTTTTTCCGGGGGGTTCCTTTTATGTCGCGGGCTCGACGAAATTCTGGGCTCAAGTATTACCCACGGGATATGCACGGGAATTAATGTCGTATTAATCCCCGATACTCGACGCTTCGGGTTCCTCTTTTTTTTTTTTTTTTTCTTTTAATGCGACTTTGGCCGATCATTTCGCTTTATTTTTAATATGCGAAGAGTATTGACTTTATTTTTAATATGCGAAGAGTATTGACTTTATTTTTAATATGCGAAGAGTATTGACTTTATGGTTTCTCTGTACAGGGGACGAAGAATGGGACGACGCCAACGGCCGAAACGCGCCGGATACCTCCGATCGGAACGACCGAAGAGACCGGGCCGAACCTTTACCGATGAAACGTAAGACCGCACTTCTTTCTACTCTTCCTCCCCTTTTTCTATTTCTTTATCATTTCTCTCTATCTCTCTCTCTCTACAATTCGCGCTCGGTAAATCAAACGGCGTATGACGCTCCTTCGCCGGGGACCTCCTCCCGAATATTGCATTATGTATTCCGTATTACGTCCGTTCGCCATCTTGTTCGCCACCCCCCTCCGCGGAAAACTTCATTTTCACTCTCCTTTCGAAAATCCCCGGAAATTCCCGTTCCCTGCGAGTCGAAGAGTCGAAGAAAAAGCAGGAAGAGCGTGAAAAGAGACGCGAAAACTGGCGGTAGTTAAAAATGATTTTCCGAATTTCAGCCGATGACGATGAGGAGGACGAGGAGGAGGAGGAGGAGGAAGAAGTCGAGGACGAGGAAGAAGAAGAAGAAGAGGAAGAAGTCGAGGGAGAAGCCGAGGAGGAGGAGGAGGAAGAGGACGAGGAGCTTCAGAGAGCTTTCGGCCGACACTCCGTGGGTAAGTAAAAAAGAAATTCCCTCCCCCCACCTTTCGCTACTTTTCCTCCCTACCTCTCTTCCTAGATATGAAGAAGAAAGACGGGGAGAGAAAAAGGTCCGATAAACCCGCGACTGAGGAGTAGAAAGAAAGAAAAAAAAATCAATCCATCGCGAGTGGCCGATTTTATTCCCGGCCAACGAAATGCCGCCAAAGGAAAAGAGACACGGCGAGAACCTTGGGAAAGTCCTTTCCCCGGGAATGATTTCCCCGGGCAAAAATCTTCTAGTAAATTCCCCACCTTATCGGGGAATTTCTCGCGAGGCGTAATTAAACTGGAATTATTCGTCCGGGAATCCGTGCGTCGGGGGGTTGCGCGGGTCTGAATGTTTTAGGGGATGAAATTTAAGAAAGTTTTCCTCCCCCCACCCACCTTTCCCACGGTACTTCTACCGGTCGATTATTATTTCAAGTTACCTTTCGCCGAGGCGGCGCTGCACTCGCCCACACTCGCCCACGCGGGTTTACGCGAATTGCACGCGTGTACGTCGGACTCTCCTCTCTGCGGGAGGGACGCGGGGAGGGAAAACCGGCTCGGTGGAACCTCGAACGGGGCTGGGTCCCAGGGGAGCCCCGTGTCCCGGGGGACTCCCCCGGGTCTATCCGCTTACCTGAAAGCATCGGGCTCCTCCCCGCCCAAGCTAAACCTTCCGACCTCCTTCCGGAAGGGGGCATTTCCTTTCCTGGACGTTTCTTCTCTCTCTCTCTTTTTCTTCTTCTTCCACTCTTTCCCTCCCCTAAATAAATCTCGCCGGGGAGGCGCCGGTAACGGCCGGGTCGGTAACACCCTGCGAGGTAGGGCCCTGCGGCCGATAAACGCTTCCGGCCGCTCGACGGAGGGAACGGAGGAACTCTTTCCGTATTACAATCGCCCTTTTCTTTTATCTCTCCCTTTTCGTACAAAGTCAACGATCGGTCGATCCTCAAAGAAGGAGATCCTTCTTCCCGATTCCCGAGGGAACGGCCGCCGATTTTCCTGCGAGGCGATCTTTATCACCGTTTAATAATCCTTTCTCCTTTCTCCGTCTTTCCGGTATCGCGAGATGCGCCGGAAGTGACACATCGCCGATCGGTCGGTAAAGCAGCGCGCTCTAGTGCCGCGGTAATCGCTTATCCGCGAGGTAAAGGGGGAATCTCGGAGGCGCTGCCCCCCCCCCCCCCCCCCGGTCTCGGGTTCGTGAGCCGAAAGACGCCGTTTTAACGCGGCGTCGGCGTCGGCGTCGGCCGAGGGAAGGTCGGTATATTACGGGGAATGCCAGGGCATTCCCTGGGGGGCGAAGGGGGGCACCGCGACGCCGGCCGGCGCGCATGCGCCGGGCTGATTAGTTCTCCCACCCCGGGCCTCTCCCGAGTTCCCGAGTGTTGGCAGCGTCAGAGGAGAGCGCGGATTCCCAGAGGAGCTGGCCCCGCTCTCCCACCCACCGGACCGCGTCCTCCCCCCGAACCCCACCCACCACCCACCCACCCCCACCGCCCACTCGCCCCTGCCCGAGGGAGCCGGGGGATCCTATTCCCGGTACAGCCCGGGTATAACCTGCGTGTACGACCTGCGTACGAGCTGGGCGCAACGGAGAGGCGCCCGATTATTCCTACCTGGTACAGGTGTACATACATTACCTGGGTACAGGTGTGGACAGGTGCCTCGTACGCGTAGATCGTCTTGTTGGTGTTTTTAAAGTGACAGATCGGGCACTGACAATTTTTTTTATAGAGTGGAAAAGTTCAGGGGAACTGTAATCACACGCAGATTTTTCGGTCTCAATTGATCTTCACAATTGTTGACTCTTGAGTCATTTTTCGGGATTTTGTCGCGATGATCCGGTATTTCCTGGAGGGGCGTCAGCTTTTGTCGTCGCTTGAGATCTTTCCAATGTACTTGGCGCGGGACTCTACCGAGTCTCCCGATCACGAGTCTTTCGACGTTTCTTCCGTTCGGGGTGAAATTTTGATAGCGGTGATTTTTCGTTTTTTTTTTTTTTTTTTCGTTGGGAGGGAGGTACTATATTCGTAGTTTTTTTTTTTTACCGGGACGCGGATCGATTTTCCAAAAAGTCTCACCCGAGGGCTCGGAAAGTCGCCGGAAGGGGCTCGGGAAGGGCTGGGGAAGTTTTAAGCCCTGTTTCCTCGACGCGACTGTACCCGGCGATATAAGGGTGTCCCAGGTGACGAGCTGCCTCGGGCCGTGCCACGGCTCTACGTATCCCTGGGGACCGACTCGACTCTACTCCTCCCCCTCCCTGGACTCCTCTCTCTTGCTCTCTCATGCTCTCCCTCGCTCCGCCGCACAGTGGGCTGGAATCCCAAAATCCTGGCGAAATGTCGAAAAACCAAGTTCGTTGTGTTTTCCGTTTCAATTCGCGTTGTTTTGTAGAGCACGTGCGCCGGTAGGGCCTCCGGTGCGCGAAATTTTCCTACCCGGGCGTTAATTAGTGCGGATTATCTATAAAATTCTTAAGTTCAGCTAAAGTGTCAGGAAATGATTATTGATGCATTATTACGATAGGATGATTATCGATGATTGTCGGTGACGCGCTATCGGGAGGGCTGAACATCGGCCGACCTCGCGCGGTACTCCCTAAGAGTCGAAAGTTCAGCCGGCGGACCGACTTAACCTAACTTTTCGACGGGTTCTGCCCTAACTTTATGCTAATCCGTCTAGCATTCGACGTGGAGACTTCCGCACCTCGCGGTGGCTTCCGCTTTCCCGTGGACGTAACCGCGGCGGCGACCTGCATTGCCGACTTCCCTTTCCTCCCCTTATCGCGGGGGTGGGTGGAGGTCGGCAGTCTTTGTCGCCGATATACCGAAGTCGATCGGCCCCCTCGACGAGATCTAGAAATGGAATGTGGCGATTGAGCGTACAAAAGCACTGAAATCGGTCACCCTTACCCAAATGCATCGTTTCGTAAGGTAGCGTTTCACAAGAAAAAAAAAAAAAAAAAAAAACAACGTATCGTCAAATTATGAATCGAGCGGGCAAAATCAATGACATCGGTCACCTTTGCGACATGCATCGTCTCGTGGGGGTGCGTTTCCTAAAATCGTTTCCACGAGGTATCGTCGCAAACCTCTGCCGAGCCGCCATCTTGGATGCCGAAAGTGGACTCCATTTCAGGGAGGATTGGGGGGGGTCACCCGAGATACGTGGAAATCCGAACGCCATATTTATCATAAAACCCATCGAAAACCCCCAGGGGGGGGGGTGAGTCGCCCCCGCCCCCCGCGAGTCGCCGGGAACCCTTGGCGCGATCAAACGTTAATGTCCTCCGTCCACCCGAGCCCCGCGGGGGCTCGTATCTCTTACGAATCTCTCTCGCGACTTCCCTTTCTTCTTTTTTTTTGCTCCCCTTCCTCTCCAGGTCCCTCGCCCCCGGAAGTGTAACCGCGCCCGGAGTATCCGGTCTGCTGGAATTGTCGGAGGCCCCTGTAATCCCCCGACAGGGTGCACGTCGGTCTCGATAGGGACATCCTGCGGAATGAACATTCCGCGGGTCACCGCGAGGTCCTCTTCGGGATGTTCGCGGGGGGTGGCTGCAGGGAGGAGGGACCCGGGGAACGGGGGAAAGGGGAGGAGGGAAAGGAAGGGCCATCTTTCTAAGAAAGAAATTAAAGTTTCCCCTAGGGCATAGTCGGGCTAGGGTGGGAGGCTCCGCGCGGGGTCGGCGCGGGGTGGCGCGAAGAGGGAGCCGGCCGGGATGGCCTACCGCTCTATCGCTCGCGCCGTCCCCCTAGGGATATCTAGTCCCGCGACTGGCAACGACTAGCCCTTGGCAATGACGCGGACTTTCTCTCTCTCTGTCTCTCTCCTGTACTCCGATGACGAACTCTCTAACGGGTGCCCCTAGAGGGAGAGCGTAGGGAATTAAGGGAGGGCCTCGAACCCGAAAGAGATTTTACCTTCCCTGGGTATCCTTCCCTTTATTTTTTCCTCTTTTCCGATTTACTACCTACCCCAAACCTGATTCTTGCGATGGATGCCCTCTCTTGGATGAACGATCGGGAATCTCGGTAGAGTCTCGCGGCGAAATACTTATCGCCAAAATTCGGCAGACTTCGATGCGACGAATTTGTTGGGCATTTCTTTTTAAAGAAGGGATCCACGGTCGGTCGGTAAGGTAGAACTAGGGAGAAGAACGAGGGGGCCGACGGTGGGAGGCGAGCAGCGCCGGTCGCTTCCGGTCGATCCCGGCGCCCGTGAGGAAAATCCAATTTGGGGGAAATGAGAACCACCGTGCGAACCACTGCGCGCAGTCCCTGGGGACCACTGGGAGCAGTGGGAAGCCTCTGTGCCCGTACCGGGGCTATACTCGGGGTACCGGTGCTAGGGGAAATTCCCCGAGGAGGTAATTACCCTCCCCGTCGGCCCCCTCCGCCGCCCCCGCCGACCCCCTCTGCCACCGCCGCGCTCACCCACGAGCAACCAGCTACGAGCAACTTCAACTCCTGCAGGAGTTACTCGCTAATACAAAACTAAACCGGGCGACCGACCTTACCGGTCGAGCGCTCGGCCCGCACTGCGCGGGCGATCGCGCCTAGGCGTCACGTGACGCGCCTCGCTCACGTGACCCGCCGCGCCGCCATCTTGGTTCCACCGGTACGACTCTTGTAAAGCGGGAAAGACAAGTTTTTTTTTCTCTTTTTTTCCTCTTAATCTCGCGTTGCTACCCGATTCCGGTGTACGGTTCGAACGAAGCGACGTCCTTTCGCGAATTTCCGACGTCTATCGGCGTCGATTGTCCATCGGCGTCGATTTCGCGAGTATAGCGCGGAAGTTAGGGTTGACGCGAACGCGGGGCCGACGTAACGGGCGACACTGGTTGCCGGCAGAAGCGAAATAACATTGCCGGTCCCGACCGGGAACGGCTACGGGAGCCAATATCACCGGAGTATGGCACCTATGGGAGTTTCCACCTTCCGCCACCCCTCTGGAGTACCAGTACTCCCCTACAACCCCCCGCGGTCCTCCCTGCCCCTTGCACCCTGTGTATTTGTACGTGTACATGCGCATGCACGTCTGCGTGTATACACCGCACCTGTATACACCCTGGATACGGTGTACAGCGGTATAAAGTGCCGCGTCGGAAAAATAAATAAGTCATTTGCGAACGGTAACGACGCATAACACCGGGTCATCCTTTTGGGCTGGCGCCGTTTTAATGGCCGAGGAGGATGTCCAGGTTTAGAGGCGCGAAAGTGGTTAGGACGGTGTTTTTAGGGATTTTAGTGGTTGGTGAAATGTGGCCCGTGCGGTCAATCGGGGGTTTTATCGGGGCGCCGGTTTTGGTAAGTTCGGATTAAAGGAGCAGAGGAAAAATCGTGTGTTTTCAGATTATCTGCAAGATGGAGGGCCACCCTCGGTGCCGGGGGCGGATCTGGAGAATCGCAACAGCCCCGATAGCGGTGAGTCCTTTAACAACGTTAATACGATATTAAACCCCCACGGGGGATTCGCTAAGGGAGTACGTGAGGTGATGCACAAGAATTCTCTCGGGGAGTGCTTTTGTCCCCCCTTAAATGACCCCTTGGCTAGGGTTGGGCGGTTAAAATTGCGCGCCCGGCATTTGTACTTGGGTTTACATTTTTTTCGATGGGAACACGTGGAAGTTTTACTTACCCTTTGGGGAGCCGTAGATGGGTACCTAATTTTGGAATCTTCCTGGGTCGGTATCGCAGAAAGCATAGACACTGAAACCCCAGGTTAACGTTCCGTACTCGGGCCGGGGTGCGCTCGCGGTCCGACGAGCTTGTCCAACGAGCAAACACTTAATTAACCCTTCCAACCTCTCAAGGAGTGAAATACTACTAGGATTTGACTGGATCCTCTGGCCGGCGTTGCTAAGACACTCCTTGTGGCCGAATTAATCCCCTTTGGTCCTATCTTAACGTCCAAACGCCGCGCCTTTAGGCGGCGCAATGACTTTTCGCAATTGCGAAAAAAAACGAAAAAAAAAAACACCTAACCCTTATGGTGACGTGAAAGTGGCATCAAAGAGGTCCCATTGATGAAACCTTCGTTTTAAACCTAACACTGGGAACACAGTGGATATAAGCAAGGTCCCGACGCCCATGAAATTTCAACATTAAGATAATTCGTTCGTGGCCTCTTTCGAAATCTTGTATAAAAAAAATGAATTCTCCCGAGTGTCAGAACCTACCTTGGGGTCTTCTTTTGTGCATGGGGTAAATTCTGGGGGGGAAAAAAGTAGGTTCGCCCAAACGAGGAGAACACTTTCACGAAGGATTGACCCCTTAGATGCCACTTTCGCTTCTTAGTCCTCACCTATGATTCGGAGAACGACGTATTTTTTTGCGGACATGCGATTTACGAAACCTCGATGTTTCATCTATTTTTTTTTATTTTTTTTTTTCTCCCCGTTTTGGAACGACTCCACGCACGCTTTTGTCGGGTCCTTGCTGGATGGTCGGTAAGGGCACTGCTCCCCCCGATTCGCCGAAACGCTTCGCGGGGTGAAAATTTAATGCCGGTCCGTCTTTGAGCCTGGCCTACGGTCACGGCATCGTCATCCATTATTAGGGAAGTTTGCGCCTCTGTTTTAAGCGGACGCGACGGACGACGGTCGCCTCGCTAATTCACGGAAATTGCCTCCGCGTTTGCTCTTCTCCCACGTTTTCCGGGCCGCGTCCGTTGCCCGCGGAATTAACGGCGAGACGTTATCGGTCGCGATTCTTCCCGAGAAGTCTGACCTCCGTATCCTCGATCCGGAGGTGCCGTCAACTTCTGCCTTCTAGCTTCACTTTTCGAATTTCCCTCGTTTTTATTCCTGATCTTTCATTCATCGATCTTCATTCCTCTCGCGTAATAAGAAGAATTCCCGATGTCGGTCTACACTATTTGCCGCAAGAATGAAATGCAGTCCCCTGTTTTGTATTATGATTTTTTTTTTCTTTTTTTCTTTTTTCCCATTACAACCTTTCGGTACGACGCAAACTCGGGCCGCGCAGTGCTGGACGGACGTGTATCCATTTCCATTTCCGAAATTTCCCGCTGTCGTTTCCATTTAGCGAGCTCGGTCAGGGGGGGAAAGGCGTCGGCGAGTCAGCGATAATTAGCTCGGACGGACGTGGACACGCGCGAGCACTTTAAATGTCCGCCGGCCGAGAGAGCATTCCCCTATATTCCCCTATATCACCATATAAGTGGGTGTACATACCCCCCCTGCATCCCTTCGTTCATTGTTTCGTAATGGCGGGCTGCGCTCGGTGTCCTAGACCGCGGCTCGATGTCGCCAAATCAGGGATCTGCTCGTAAAATCGACGAAATCGCGCCGATACGGTCGAATGTCATGGACCAGCCAAAAGGACCAATTACACGTGTCTTGTACGGTTGCCGCGGATTTTCCGATGTACGGTTTCAAACTGTTTCGAGTTACCGCTAGAGGCGAGGGCAGCTCGAGGAGATCCCTGGTTTACCGACGCCAAGCAATTCCGGATCCTCCCTGACCGTCCTTCTTTCTCGGCCGGTAGTACGGGACTCGTGTCGATAGGACGCTCGACCAAGGAAAAGAGAATTAAATGTAAAATGTTTTACATTTAAAAATGTAAATCATTTGTAAATGTTAACAACTCCTTTAATTAGTGACCCCATGAATGGACGCCTTCTGGGCCAGTGGGAGTTTTCTCAAGTTTCGCTTTTCGCACCTGCTGGCGCAGGGGGCATTCTAACCTCACTTCTCCCCCTTGGTCTATTTCTGCCCCTGCTTTACGCCCCTTACAATGCCTTAGCGTGCATTACATGCAACCCGGTTATTTCTCCGGGGAGTTTTCTCCCGTGAATACCCGAATACGCACTGTACGTACGTACACACGACGACCCTTGGAAATAACCTCGCACAATTTCGCAAAAGTGCGTACAATCGCGCGAAACTGTACTCTGAAAATCGTCGTTTCGAAGAATCTTACTTTTCATGGTTTTTCTTTATGCCCGACTTGATTCTTACCTCGAAATCAAGAATTAGATGCGCCTGGGGCTTAGTGACACCGTGGACAAAAAAGTCTGCAGGGAGATTGACACTTGCCATTTTTTTTTCTATGGTTTCTTTTTCGAGGGTTTTCATACGTAGAGCGGATAAAAAACGAGTTCGGGAGGGAGGAAAAAAAAAGAAGCCAGGGGTGAGTCTCACGAGTCAAAGCGATCACTACGCCCCAGGGGATTGTCTAGGAAACTTTAGGAAAGAATCGGGCCAAAGAAATTCGGCGTCGCAGGTCCCCTCTTTGCCGACCACCGATACACGTAAAAAAGAATAGTATAACGTGAAACCGCCGCTAAAAGGAAATTAATTGCCACATCCAAATTCAATCTTAAGGGGAGATAATTGCTACGAGAAATGCGCTCGTAAGATCGCTTGCGAAATTACGAAAAAAAAGAAAAGTATCGGATTGAGGAATAAGTTCCCGCCGTTTTTAACGTAACATAACGTAATTAAAACGACGGGAACTTACTCCTCGACCTAATATATAAAAGGCGTTATTAGGGAGGGAAACGCGAGAATTTACCGTGGCGGAAGTTCGCAAGACGCGAGGGGGAAATTCCCGTTTCCGAAGCGACTAGGCGATTTTTCCCCGGCCTCGGAGCGTGTCCTTATTAAGGTTTATGAGAAATTTCCGTAGAGCATCGCGCGGGCGTCGCCAATCCTTGCAAAACTAAAGTCCGCCCAGTGGCCGGCAATTATCCTCGCCTCGACCTCGGCCGTAGCGAGTCTTCGACTTCCGGCGCGCATCGGCGTTACATCGGCACTTACGATTTCGCCATTACCCAGGGGAGGAGGCAACGGAGCGCCGCGTTGTAAACCGGGCCTAAATGCCGCAACGACCGTTACTTCCCCTCGTTTTTTTTTTTTTTTTTCTCTAAAACTGTTACAAGTTTTCAAACCCTCGAGTGTTTTTTTTTTTTTTCCCTATAAAACTGTTTATAGAAATTTTCAATTTTTTTATTAAAAGCGACTCTCACATCCCCTTAATAACCCAAACGGGAATTTGGCATCGACTCAGGTTTCCTCATTTCCTGCGGTTTACGCAGCGCGTCGCGGCGTCCGTCTTCCCGGTGACGGGTCTCCACTGTCAGCGTGGAGTGCAAAATGGCGACCTAACGAAAAAGGACCGCGGCGAGGTAGGGTAGCCGTGGTCCGTCCGTCGCCGTAAAGTGTAACTCCTTCCCCGTGGGGCCGATCCCGCGGCGGAAGGGCCGCGCGCGACGCGTCGCGTCGCGTAGCGTATCGCGGAAAGTGAAATACAAAACGCGTCCCGCGGACGGACGGCCGCAGGACGAGGGCGCGCAGGAATGTCCTCAGGGATAAGATCTGCCGACCCGCGGTCCTCGGTTCCGCACGGGGGGAAACGCAGCGCGGAAACGTCGGGCCGCGACTTATCGACTCGGCCGATCGAGCGGGCGTCGAGGGGCCGTCGCTCCCGTCGACGGTATCGATCGGATCGATCCGATCGATCATAGTTGGCCAGTCGTCGCCGACTCGACGCCGGACTGTTACTTACCCTCCCTCTGGTGTCCCCCTCTCCCCCCTTCCATCGCCCCCCGCGAGGAGCGCAGCGCGAGCGCGTGCGATCCCCTCGCGGGACCTCCGCCGACTCACCGGCCAGCGGCGCCGAAAAGCGGGAAAGCTCCGATTGGCCGCGGAGTGGGGGAAGGCACGACGGCGGGGAGGGGAGGGGAGGCCCGGCCCGAGAGTAGGGGAAGCCCGCGGCGGCTCGCCGCTTTAATTGTCCGGAGCCTCGGCAATTCTGCGGTTTCCAGTCGCAATGAGGCGAGGATCGAAGCAATTTGACCCCGGGCGGGGCGGGTGAGGAAACCAGGGGGGGGAAAAATCCCAACCTCAGGATCGCCGCAACGTCCTCGAGGATGCGGCTCGCGCGCGCCCGCGCACACCTCGAGGATAGGCCGGACGAGCGCGTATTTACGCGCCTATTAAGCCCTCGCCCACGCGCAGACCACAAAGAGAGACTTACGGCTTACGGCTTACGGCTAATTGAATTCGCGTTACACGTTATATACCTGCCCACGTGGACCCGCTGGCTTCAGAGCCCCGGGTATATACTTAACTCGTTATGCGTACTCGCGCATTACCGTATCTACGAGGTCTCACTTTTCCGACCCTCGAAAAAGCCGAGCGGAAGGCTCGACAAGTGATAGACCTCGTAGGGTGACAAGTCCGCACGTACGCACAATTATACGTCACTTGTTTCTTTGAATAGTGACGGCAATATTTTTATAGCTCCCTTTAAAAATTCATTTGTTAAATTGGTGAGCATTTTTTTTTTTTAACTCCGATGGTTAGATCGTCGGTGGGATTATTCCTATAAGTGGAATATTTCATTGCTGAAAATGCAAATATATATATTTTTTTTCTCGAGATACGGTTGCGGGGAAT